CTTCACATCTTTAAAAAATAATATAGAAAATTTTGGATACTTTTACATATATTAATATAATATTTTAGGTAATTTTTAATATTTTAAACATACAAATTTTATGTTCTCTTATACAAGATATTTTTACATTGTTTGACTCCACATCTTTAATCTATAATTTTTATTTACCCTCCTCTTTAATTTATAATTATTCATTTTTCTTCCTCTTCTTAAAGATGATCAATATTATTTCCCACTTCATCCATTGAGTGTCTCAAACTTGAGTCCTATTTATAGTATAAGAACTCTTATTTATAGAGTTTTAACTCAGGCATGAGAAATCATGAGTTAGCTGCCACGTAAGGATGGTAACAACCCATTTGACTGCTGTTGTAAAGGGCACCAAAACCCCGTCTTGATGAAATCATCGATTAAAGTTAATTTTAACTCTATCGCTTTGGATTATTTTATCCCTCTTTCCGAGTTAATTTTCAAATTCGGTCTTAATTCTTAAACGCTTCCACAACTTCGTCTTCTCTTCTGAACAAATGTAAGTAGCAAAACCTCATGCAATCATTGATAAAAGTTATAAAATATTTTTTGGCCACTCTTGTTTGCACAATTTCAAATCACATATATCAGTATGAATTAAACCTATAGGTTTAGCACTTCTTTCAGCCCGATGAAATAATAACTTAGTCAGTTTTGCTTCAATAAAAATTACACATTTTTGTGACTCAACTTTATAATTTACAATTATATCTAAATTCATCAACCATTTATTTACATGTGTATTTACATGCCCTAATATAGTACTACAAATCAGAGCACTTAAAGATATAAACAGAAAAACGTTTTCATTATCATTGGAAACAATTACTGTTGGTGTATATACTGAAAGCTTGGCTTTTAGATGTATTTACACTGAACCCGTTTGAATGAGAATCATGTTTAATTAAATAAGTCTATGTTCTGTTGTTTTGCACTTAGATAGAATGGGTCGTCATCAGGCGAACAAAAGATTATTCTATCAGTTACTTGCAAAACAAGAATTGTGGTTCACAACCTAGATGGAAATGAACACCTCATCCGAGCAGTTGTAGTGTCAACGGTACAGTTGGTCTTGACTGATTAGTTGCTCTAGTACATTTATGTATTGAACGGATCCCAGAGAGGAGAATTTCATTTTATACTGATCGTCGTAAATGAACTAGGCTTCGGTTAATTACTGCGTACTCTTAACCCGTAAGATATAAACTGGCATGTACATGCAATATTTATGACTTTAATTCATTTGGGTGAGGTTCAGTTTACTGGATCAATATACTTACTGTTTTGGGTAATATTGTTGTATGTATGATGTCCTGTTAGAATATTTAGGGCCACCGTGTGGGATAGTTTGATGATGTCCTGGAGATGAGCTCATGAAGGATTATTTTGTTAAATATGGCCAATGGAATTTAATCTGACATAATAATAATGGTATGAGTGGTACTAGTATCAGTTATAGATGTCGATTAATTTAATTATCAGTAATTAAATTAATTAATGAGCATTATATCTTAAACACGGGGAGATAAATCGAATAATTATTATTGGAGTCTCGAGTATAATTCAGGAATTAAATTGGGAGTTTATTCAATAATACTACATTAGTGGAATGTATGTATTATTTCCATTTGGGTTTGGTAGACTTGGCCTATAGTCTAATCCTAATAGGAATAGCCCAATTTAATAACTCCATAGGGTCCCTGATGTAGCCTATAAATACGTCATATATCTTAGAATTAGAAGACCAGATCAGATTTATTACTCGTATGAGTCACGCGTTTGGGAGAGAGACGCCGACCCTTTGTGTTTTCTTCTCTCTGTTGCGTTCTCTTCTTCTTCTCGAAGTAATCCCAGTAGAGATATATCCGTTTTAATTGCCCTCCAAGATGATCAGAGAAGATGTCAGGTCATACAACAGAATATCTAAGGTGATCGAGCAATATATATATATATATATATTTATCCAACCCCGTAATATATATATATATTCAACCCTGTAATTTATTTGTAATTTGCGGTGTTGTTCGTTCTTCACCAAAAGCGAAAAACATGTCCACCGAATGCATTGGAATTGTCCGGTAAACATCTCATGATGATCGGGACTTTTCGGCGAGTCTCCGCTTAAATTTTGGCAGAAATCCGGTAAGGTGGCCGGGCATGCAAGCTCCGGCAAGCCTCCAACGCGCACAAGCGCGGCCTGCAGCCGCTGGGCTCGCAGCCCAGCGCACCAAGCAAATCTGCGTGGCCCAGCAATGAAGGATGCCCAAAGATCAGGCCCGACCTTCCAGTGAGCAGCCCAGACGATTCGCGCATTGCCCAGGAGTCCTCAGCAGGTAGCGGCCAATGCGTGGAGCGGCCCAACATGCGAGATGGCCCAAATCTAAGAAAATAGCGCGCGGGCCACGCGGCCCGCGTCCAGCGTCCAGCCCGCGCGCTGCCTGTTTATTGTGTTTTTGTCGTTATTTTCTTGTGTTTTATGTGTTTTATTTTGTGGTTTTTAGGTCCGTTTTTAGGCTCGACCGGTCCATTTTATCATGTTTTGTGTATT